ATGTACGTATGCCGAGGTGATATTTTTTTTAGAGCCTTGAATCTGTCAAGCCCCCGTCTTTCAACTGATTCATCCTTTAGTTTATTTGTTCAAGACTGCAAATGATGGCCGTTTTGATTTTCCTGTGTCCAAAAAGTCGGATCGGAGGTGACAGAAGGGCTGTGTTAATTATAAGGGGGATTTTTTGAACATGTGATGTAAACATTGATTGTAAACAGTGTTCGGTTAGATACCTTCGTCACCCTCTTGACTATTGATAATGATCGGCGGGAGGTGTGTATGCACATCGGAGAGTACGCGTTCGTGTGTTTCACACATCGTCCCACACACCAGCTGGGCACTCTCGTCGTTTTTCAAGTTGAAGAGGGATGAAGCATGGCGAAGTCAAGCCGTCTCACAGTAAACTAGACGACTGCAGCGCCGAATCACAGGGGCCGCTGTAAATTTACGCGATTGTTCACATGTAAAACAATTTGTGTATTTACAGCCGTATTCCAATCGTACCGAACGTGTGAATCACTCCAAACATGGTAATATCGATTGTTGACCCCGGCGCTGACCCGATGACCTCGGAGAACTATAGCGCCCTCATTAGATGAAATGTAAAGTATCGGAGTACTTCGACGGTATTGCCATGTTTATAGTATGTATTTTAAAACTGAGCATTTAAAGTATGAAAAATTGTTTCCGATTTGTAGATAAAACACATAATAAATAAATGTAATGAATTGTGCTGGTTTTCGTCACCCAGACAGCGACAAATCACCAACAATTCAATATTTTAAAAAAATAATTAGCAATTTAAAACGCACAAGACAATCCACTGACATCTTAGTTTGAATCCCTAAAAATAGAAAATAAATCTGACAACGTATTATTGATTTCAATGCTCTTGAGATGTGCTCAAAACGATGTATCGATTTAATGTCAGTGCATTCCCCAAATATACTACTAGTATGAATCGTGTCGAGTAATAATTGCTTTCCGAATCGTGCATAGTTCGTGGATGTCGATTTCCAAAGAGCGCACGGAATAATTATAACATTAAATGATAACAAAATATGCTTCTTATTCCTTGAAAATGTATCTCAGTTATTTTCCGTCGCTTTTTGGCGATGACCTCTTATGTAGACTAAATCCATCACATACTTCAACGAGTATGATGTCGACAACAATAGTAGTAGTTACACTACTGGCATGCCGCCGAGACTCGCCGAGCGTCACGTTGCCCCACTTTCTTGTCCAATCAGTGGTGTCGTGTCTATCCCGGTCCAAAAATACAAAAGGGCGGTTAAATGATACCCCACCCTCTCCGAAACATACTACGCACACATACTGCGTTTCCCGGAGACATTCCGACAAGAGTGTGTGTGTTTATAAGAGAAGTTTCCAGTATCCGTGTGTGCGTGCGTGTCTGTCTGTCTGTCTGTCTGCACGTGGTTTTATTTGATGTGGTGCAGCAATTATAATACAACTATAGCAATACACTGACAATAACAATACATGTTTTTAATGAATAAACATGATATAATATACAAATGTCATATTCATTTTCCGTAGGTTTGTAATGATAATGATGATCAGAACACGGCGACAACAGAAAGTATTTCACTGAATTTCCCATTGTAGAGCCCAGAAGACACAAATAAACACTGCACTGTAGTTATTTCAATTATTGAATCATCCATGTATAGACTTCGGAGTTTGCACCGTGGACGTACGCCCGGACGTACGCCCAAGATTACATACACTCCACACATTAAGTGGTATTTTCACCAATATAATCATTACGTCTGTGTGTCCACTTCCGCATGTATCAAGGGCCTGTACCACGAAGTATATATACACGTAAAGTGTTCATACGAGGAAGAGGTTCAGAATGGTCACGATTTTTTTTTGTGGAAATCCCAAATTTGTTGTCACAAGCATGCGGAAGTAAATACACCGATACAAATCATGTAAATAACTGGTCGATGCACGAATAAAGACCCGCTAAGCGAGTCATGCTGGTAGTGGTAGCCCGGAACCCTGCCTTCACGGTTGGTTCGCGTTATGAATTTCCCGCAAGCAAACTGTCGTCAACTTATAAAACACTTCACACAAGGATGTGAAGACAGAAAAAACATGCCTGTCAATTGATTTTGATAAAATGAGTTAGCAATCATGGATTGTTCTACAAGCCCCAAAGTTTTTTTTACAATTACACGTTCAATTTCGTCTCGTTTGCGGCAAGCTGCGAGCTAGGGACGAGGGGGTCAAATGTTTTCACCAGGAAGTTTCAGAAAGCAGCATAATGAAGTTTAATTGACGCCGTCTTTTTGGTGGCATGATCGAAAGCATGAGCATTGTTTACGTGAGAAATTATTGAGAAATGTGATTTTTTGACACAAATACTTTGCATACCGGCTTGTTGTACACCGCCTTAAATGGATATTGAAAAGCTCAGTCACAAATCAACAAAAGGTAGAAATCCAAGTTTAGTCGGTACACGACGGAATATCTATTCCGCGAAATGTCATAGTTTGTCACGTTTCCGCTATTACTCGAATAATCAGTCGCCATTTTCAGTATTGCAGCCTGGATTCCAGTCATGGTCGAGTACTAGTGTATTTAAATGGCTTCACCATAGTGATACATTTACAATGGTTACCAGTCAATCTCAAAGAGCCGTTCGAGTCGAGCTTTGTTGTTAATCACGTGTTTACGTTAGTCGGGTGACCTTGTCTCCTCGATCCACGACCAATTTGTGTGTGCATGAATTTAAAAGGTATTAGAGAGAGGTGAAATTATGTTACGTAACTTGCTATGCAAGCAAATCTGAGAGAAACATTTTTCAAAACTGGGTTATATTTAGAATTTTAAAAAATAGTCCATGCATTTAGTAGTAGAAATATGCCGGTTCCCGGTGATCCTTGGTGCGCTGAATGCAGAACAGAGTTTTCAAAAATCACTATAAAAGGAACCATGTCAGAACCGCAGCCTCGCGAAATTGACACGCCCCAAAAGTGGAACCTCATTAATTCAGTGACCTGACCCGTCCCACGACACTGGACCAACCACGACTCGAGGTTTATGAATGAAATACATATACGGACAGTGACCAGTGTCCAGCACTGTGCGGAAGATCCCATACAAAGGCATGGTCGATTGCACTACCAAATAAGGAAGTGTTTTGAAATCCCCATTCTTTTGCGGAGCCTCTAAAAGCCCAAGCACATAGCTTGATCCGTCACTCTGAGTCCGGCTGAGATAGCACGCAGCACAAGCTCCCAACCAAATAATCTTTATTCCTGCACTTAAAGTAAGTATTTTGAAATACTTTTCATAGCATGATGATTATAGTTAGTTTTCCAATATTATTTTCATTTTATATACATGTATGCCACTGTATTTTTAAAATCGATTATTGCAATGCACTCGACTGACACGCCCTTTGGACGCGTGTTTCAACTTAACCGTATCGATTATCGGTACATTTTACAACTGAAATAACTTGTAATTCTCCGTCATCGATGTTTTCGTTTGTAAATTAGCTGATCGTAGTATTGTGGCTAATTGTAGATTAAATTCCATTTCAGAAACCAAATCAAATAATTCAACATGTGTGACGAAGAAGTTGCCGCTTTAGTTGTGGACAATGGCTCCGGTATGTGCAAAGCCGGATTTGCCGGAGATGATGCTCCCCGTGCTGTCTTCCCATCCATCGTTGGACGCCCACGTCATCAGGTAAGATAGAAATATTTATTCTAAAAATTGGTTGAAGTTTAAACTCTTTAGCTTGCAACCAACCAAACTGTACATGTCTCGACAACGCCCTTCCTGCTTTCCGTTTCGGATTACACATTGAACTCTAATTGCCAGGCCAGGCTATTATATGATCGGTGGTTTAATTTAAAAGTAGTCTTGGCAGTTAATCTGGTCCGTTTTAAATGCTTCCTACTTACTGCACATGTAACGCGAAACGTGGCATGTTTCTAGTAGCTGAGTTATGCAGTTGTCGGGCAGTGACAGTGTTGCACATGGCTTCATATAATTTCCCAGCCACTTGTATTGATATAAATATTTAGACTGTGGAAAAGTTTGTAATTTAAAACTACTCTGAACGTTCTCCGATTGGAGTCCAATATACCGCATGGGATATTTAACTGTTTAGGGCGTGGTTCTGATACGACGCCACGCATGGCTTTTAGTGTATGGTGTGGCTATTCTTCTCGCGTACTTGCTCGTCTGGCCATGTTCCAGCTCTGGATATGGGAGGAGCAATCAAATTCGGACCGGGATTAAATTCCTAACAATGTTCATTAACTGTCAATCAATTGCAGCCTTGAGTTTGACAATAGTGGCAACTTTTACAAATTTAAATATAAATGTAAACCGCGCTGGGGTTTCAGTTGTGACTCGTTATGTAACGTATCATTAGCATTTCCACAAACAATACAGCTTTATAAGATTTCCCACGCCTGCAACCTCGCATTCTTATTTATAAAGCTTCCACAATTAATTGATCATCGGGAAGGAATCGTACTTACTATAAAACACATAGGGCGGGGTAAAATGGGCTGGGTCGCTGGGGTATGTGGTGTTGCAAAAACAAGCTGATCATATTGCTCATCAATTTGTAACACATACGCACCTGTGACTAAATTACGCATATTCAGGACTTATGACCTTCAGCAGTCTCGGTAGGAAGAATGTGTTTTTATTTCCATTACTCAGCGATAGCGCCGGGTATCAAATTATGCCCATATAAGGACATGTTCACAGCACAAGCGACTGCCCTTATATAGGTTCTATTTTTATCGCCGCGCGATTGCGGAATACCATTTACATAAATGGAAGGAAATAAACAAAACTTGTACACAACTATAGTAAACAGGGGCGTTGTGTCTGGTTGAATCTATTAGTTTATTAACCCCAGCCATGCGGAACTCCCGCGATACAAATTGTAGGCTTGATTACTATTATTACAATTAAATTGCCATGATCGAAGTTGTATTAAATCATGGTTATTAAATATATTCCCCGATCCCAGAATTTTATTTACCCGTCGTATATTTTACTTTTCCAGGGTGTCATGGTCGGTATGGGACAGAAAGACAGCTATGTAGGAGACGAGGCTCAGAGCAAGAGAGGTATCCTTACCCTGAAATACCCAATTGAGCACGGTATTGTTACAAACTGGGATGATATGGAGAAAATCTGGCATCATACTTTCTACAATGAGTTGCGTGTAGCTCCAGAGGAACATCCAGTTCTGCTCACAGAAGCTCCACTCAACCCCAAAGCCAACAGAGAAAAGATGACACAGGTAAATTATTCATGTCTTTGTCTCTATGACAAAGAACCAGTGACCGTTGAATGACCTAAAATTCCTTTGACGGGCGTGCATACGATGCAAATAAATTTGCTGTTAATTTGTAGATAGTCGAACTGCTACTTAAATCAATTAACAGAAAATTGAACTGTTATGTAAATGTGCATTTACGTTATTTTCCCTTTTTGCTACAGATTATGTTTGAAACTTTCAACACACCCGCCATGTATGTAGCTATCCAGGCCGTACTGTCACTGTATGCATCTGGTCGTACAACTGGTATTGTGATGGACACTGGTGATGGTGTAACCCACACAGTACCAATCTATGAAGGTTATGCTTTGCCACACGCCATCCTTCGTCTGGATTTGGCTGGACGTGATCTTACTGACTACCTCATGAAGATCCTGACAGAACGTGGTTATTCATTCACAACCACAGGTGTGTAGATGTATTTTAACTGTCATCCAGAGATTATTTGTATCTAAAAGAAACCTAGTTCAGGGTGGATTCTGTTGAATGTGAAATGCAAAAAACACTTTTATAAAACTAATGCTGGCGATTTGCATACACGTTTCTCTATACTGACTAACATTGAATTTTCATTTACTTGCAGCCGAAAGAGAAATCGTTCGTGACATCAAGGAGAAACTGTGCTACGTAGCTCTGGACTTCGAACAAGAAATGGCAACCGCTGCTTCAAGTTCATCACTAGAAAAGAGCTATGAATTGCCTGATGGTCAGGTTATTACCATTGGTAACGAACGTTTCCGTTGCCCAGAGGCCCTCTTCCAACCTGCTTTCTTGGGTAAGTGTCACTCTGACAAAAATGCGAATAAATAGTCTTTCACTAAATGCCTTAAATGTCGAAATTGGTGGTTATGACGCTTGTATTCGTATGTATTAATTTTAATCGCATTTCTATCTGACTCGCAGGTATGGAATCTGCCGGTATCCATGAAACCACTTATAACAGCATCATGAAGTGCGATATTGATATCCGTAAGGACCTGTACGCCAACACTGTACTCTCCGGTGGTACCAGCATGTACCCAGGTATTGCTGATCGTATGCAGAAGGAAATCACCAGCTTGGCTCCCAGCACAATGAAGATCAAGATTATTGCTCCACCAGAGCGTAAATACTCCGTATGGATCGGTGGCTCCATCTTGGCTTCCCTCTCCACCTTCCAACAGATGTGGATCAGCAAACAAGAATACGACGAGTCCGGCCCATCCATCGTTCACCGCAAGTGCTTCTAAATGCCCAAAACTGCCGAGGTCTAGTTGGCAAACCGCCTTCGCGATATACACTGAAATATACAAACTCATAACTGCTCTGGGAATACTATCACCAGACTGTTATCTAATACACTGGCAATACAAGACTTGGTCTCTGAAACTAGTGTATATCAAGACCATTTACCATTTCTTGTACATTTTCAGTTTTACAAACCATTTATAAATAAATTAATGTATGATTTTTTTTCACACTAGTATGCATATAGTTGTTTGCTTGCGTGACTGAATGGTCGATTGTTTATCAGAAGTTGCAAGCCTGAGCCATAGTCTCGAACAGTTGGGTGTCTGAATAAATTCAATCATTTGAATTTTTTTTTAATCACGTGCAATTGTCTGCAGCAGTTCAGATTCTAGTTCATGGCTTCCCATCCTATTCCGACACGCGCTCAGTTGTAAACTCCGCAGACTACTTGTTCAACGTCAATTTATGGCGCCCGCAGTGCCGAATTCATTTTGTACTTTCGAAATTTAAGTTGCGCCCTCTGTTGCATTACTTGTCCACAGAGGGCGCAATAAGTTTCTATCCAGGGAAACTGTGGCTTGTGCTGGTCCGGTGTTCGGCATGAGCTACTAATTAATTTAATCGTATAGTTTGTGGCAGTAACCGTGACAGTTTAGTTTATCAATTACCACATCATCAATCAGATATTCGTGAAATGTAAAGTATGATCTAATCACAATGTGGGTCACCTCTTTGTTTGCAAAATAAAATTTGGTGAGAGGCTGATTTTAATTTTTAAAATCGATAACTTGAATTTTGTTCATGAACATGTTCATTTTATGTGACCGTAACTACCTGTGCTTTCAAGTTTTCCAGTATTTACAAATAAACGGTCTAACTAGTATTTATTGTTTGTTTTTGTTGGTTCTATATTGCCTTGTCATCTTGTGGGTGAAAACTATCCAGCATGATTGGGTTGTCCGCGTGCCCCCAACGGCCTACTCCCTGCTCGATCTGGTCTTGCCTGGGTTTTAGTTGCCTGGGAAGCGTGGAGTTCAAATGAATGATTGTTTAGTTTCATTTGGAGCCTATGTAGAGCACTCGCAATCCTTGTCAGAAACGGATACTTTAAAATAAGTTAGGATGAATAGGCTCTGGCTGCTGCTCCTCGAAAATTGTCTTGGAATATGCATGTACCGGTCACAGGGGCCTGACGATCTATTCTGTGCTCCAGTCATATCAATCGTGTTTCCAGCACAATGCGCTCTCACGAACTGAAAATCTGCCACTTACTGCATAGATATATCCCGGGGCTTACATTTGAAATGCCACTCAGGCGCAGATCTGGGTTAAATATTCTATAAATTGAATTTTCACCACGATAACAATTAAGAGGCGACTACGACAAGTCTCGGAATTTAAAATTACGTATTACGTGACCTTTGGCATCGTGTATCTAGAAAAAGTTCTACGTGAATTTCATTAACTGGGTAATGTTCGAAACAAAAACACTGATCATTGAACATTTAAGACAAAATAGGAAGCTGAAACGACGAACACATTTTTGTCTAGGAAGTTTATCAGACAAAATAGATTCCGTAATTTGATCAACATATTCTCGGTTGTGGTATGCTGGTATGCAGGACTGCGCATGTCTGGGTGTAATATGTAAATGTCCTGGAACTTATTCTGTCGCGTTTGTCTGGGAACATTGCAGACAATTTTGTGGCAAAAATGATGACCCGAAAATGTAAATCAAATTACCGAGCTTCATTTTTGTTAAAATCAGACACCTGTTGTGACCTGTCAAAAAGTAAATGTTTTCAAACATTACATAGACTTGCAGGCAATAGGAAATGATGTCTATTTGTCCCAAAAATTAGCTTGCATAAAAATGTGTAAACTGGACAATTTTAAGTCTGAAAATTATCACTGCATCCATATAGTGTCTGTCAAGTTAATTTTGTTGTACAGTCTCGTGAAATTACACGAACATTAAAAACACGGGTGATACTTTTAATCCCCTCGTGACGCTTTTATAGAGTCGGTTATTACCGGGATTACCTACCTTTACTGACCCTTTAACTAAACTTTCGCTAACTGATGGCCAAAGAGCGTCAGGAATGACTTCAGATTGCAAGTCAGTACAACAATCATCGACCATGCGGCGACTGAATTACTCGTTTTGCTCACCGTACGGCTAGTAACCGTGGTTTGCTATACTCCCTGGTGGCGCCTTATAGATAATGACAGTCACAAACTGAGTACCTTACAGGTCTTATTGTGTTTTTTTAAATTAAAAAAATAGCCAACATGCAAGATACATGTATTAGATTTAAAAAAAAATAAACAACTAGTATCCCTGTTGCGTAACTAGATCTAATGCTTGAATACTAGTAACAAGATCAACCAATCAGAAACTAACACATTTGCATAATATGGAGATGCTGAAAGAATACTATCATCCGCTTCGTTATATTTTTCGTTCACACTTTCATTGTTCAACTTTTTGTGATGTCCTAGGACTATAGGAAAGATTATGCTACAAAGAACTGTGATCATCTCCTACAAGCTTGTTGTTTGTATGCTGGATCTCCAGAATGTCAAAAACACTGCACCATTTTGCATTTTTAGCCCATTTTTTTTTTGGGAGAAAACACTTGTACTTGCTTACAAGTCCAAGTATACCTATATATAAGTTCCTGGAAATTCTCAGACCAATTGAAGATAATTTTGATTCTCAGGCAATTTTACTCAAGTTCATTAAATCTTTGTTCAATCTAGCACTACTGGTAATACACTCTGGCCTTGGGGAATGGTTACACAAAAATGTTTTTGAGTCATTTGCAGAAACATTTCTCTTCTCCAATTTACAATGATAGAGTAACCATATGTGGTATTGCAGTTCAAAATGACAATTCATGAATTGAATATTTTTTTTGATTTGTGCTCACATTCATGTATAATAAGTATAAAAACACAAAGAATCAGTTACACTTACAATGTTTTTTAATACATTTTGTATACAAAAAAAGTACAGTAATTCAGAACCACTACCAACTTCTCGCAAGAACTGTTTCTATTAATGAGGTACCCAGTACTCGGATTACTTGTTACAAAATCTAATCAATGAGTGTAAGGCATGTTCTATTTAATATACTCATTTCAGGATCTAAGGCAACTGCAAGAAATAAACAATTTTTTTTTTTTTTGGATAAAATTTAAGTCTAGTCAGTACGCAATGTTTTTATAAAACATCTACTGATATTACATGAATGTGTGTGTGTGCCCATTGTTTTTGTAATCAAACAATACGAAGGGAAACTATTAAAATTGGATCAATATTTGTATTTCGCATCAATTTGTTTACTGGGTTTTAATTGTGCTATTTTCACTGATAATTAAAATCTGCTACGTTAAATTCATATGAATACATCAAATTACAATAGAATACATTGTTTCACTGGCAAATTTGTGAACCCAGTGAATGTGCTAAAAATAGTGAAATTAGGTGGTTTTACAGTACTTTTATTTATACACTGTAATGGTAGCATAGTTCACAAATTGGACATCTAGCAATAAACATCAACAAATAGAGAACTAACAAAATAGTAAAAAACATATTGCAAAGTGTTTTATATCAATTTATAATTAAAATCTGTAAGACTAGATCTGACTCAAGGTGGGTATACATATAGTATCTACTGAATTGAATAATCAGTGAGTTCACTAGAATTAATAAGTTTAGAAGCACTTGCGATGAACAATGGATGGACCAGATTCATCATATTCTTCTTTGCTGATCCACATCTGTGTGAATGTGGAGAGGGAAGCCAAGATGGAGCCACCGATCCATACAGAGTATTTACGCTCTGGTGGGGCAATTATCTTCACCTTCATTGTGCTGGGAGCTAAGCTGGTCATATCTTTCCCCATGCGATCACCGATACCTGGGTACATGCTAGTGCCACCAGAGAGGACAGTATTACCATACAGGTCCTTACGGATATCAATATCACACTTCATGATACTGTTATACGCTGTTTCATGAATACCAACAGCTTCCATACCTGTGTAAAAACAACATAAGCAAGTCATTGTTAGACATGTAGATCAATATTTTGCTGATGTCATCCCAGTGTCGTGTTAGGAATTTGGACAAATATGATAACATTGTGAAAAAGAAAGACCAAAAACTTTCTGGTGACAAATGTCATTACATAAACTCTTGAAATAATCTTTCAAACAAAAATATTTTCCTGGAAACATATTTAAAAAGTGGCTGGTTTTTTTTTTTGCTATAATATTTGACAGGTTTCTTCAATTCATCAACAGAGGGCGGTGTGTCATCTGGCCCAGCCATTGCAACAACTGGCCTATTCTGAGGTGTATTCATTGCTATCAATTGTTCAGGATATGCAGTGAAGTTATGGAACCTGGGAGTGGAACACTTCCAAAAAAGGAAAGTAGGTGTGCGTTTGCGCAAAAGATTCTACATGCATTTTAGTTGCGCAGAACAGATCAGACCAAAAGCTGCATTTCTTTTGGTTGGCACTTTACAAACCCACACTTTTTTTGGTGGTGTGCTGACAAGAAACTTTTTTTTTTTTCCTGGACAAGAACAAGGGTATTATAATTTTGAATGTTGTTTAAGTGTTAGCTTACATGAATCATAATGAAAAACGTTTCATGTTTTACCAATATACCTATAATTAGATGTGATGCCATTTTAATAAAATGGTGATTATTTCAAATTCAGGAAGGTGAATATGAATGTAAGCAGTCATAAGTGCAAGTACAGCAAAAATCGTCAAAATCAATTTGTAAATATATTTGTATATTGTATTATACTTTAGTAATGTGGAATATTTGATGTACTCGGGGTCAACTTTACTTGGTTGAAGGCAGAAGCCTACTCATAAATGCCATTTTGGTAGTATTATGTTTTTTTAGGTTCCTATGTCATATATATTATGCCATATTTTTAAATATAGGCTGGTGACATAGGCTGAAAAAATTGTATATTGTTAATGATAGGGAACTTCTTGTCCTGAATTGTTTCAAAAAGTGTAAACAAATGCAATTTTTCTTTAGCATTGTGTTATATGGCATTGTTCAAAAAACATTACTGTAACACACACAATAATGCTATTTCATTCCACCATGGGACAATAGCTCCATGATTGTACATAATAAAATAATCAACATTGTCATGCGATTTCTCAAAAATTATGAGTATGCTTTTAACTTAACACACTACCTTTAGCCGATCACAACATAAATACAAATGACGGCTGATTGTTGTTTCTGTTTTTTTTTTACTTTTCAAGCCAAACTTTTTCAATGGAACCATGTGAATTTTAAAAATCACATGCATACTTACCTAAGAAAGCAGGTTGGAAGAGAACCTCGGGGCAACGGAAACGTTCATTACCAATGGTAATAACCTGACCATCAGGCAATTCATAACTCTTTTCTATTGATGAACTTGAAGAAGCAGTGGCCATTTCTTGTTCGAAGTCCAGAGCTACATAGCACAGTTTCTCCTTGATGTCACGAACAATTTCTCTTTCGGCTGCAAGTAAATGAAAATTCAAGTTAGCAATTGCCGAAAATCATGATGCTTTGAATTGTTTTATACAAAATGTTATGATTTTCAGACTTTTGTATCTACACACCTGTGGTTGTGAATGAATAACCACGTTCTGTCAGGATCTTCATGAGGTAGTCAGTAAGATCACGTCCAGCCAAATCCAAACGAAGGATGGCGTGTGGCAAAGCATAACCTTCATAGATTGGTACTGTGTGGGTTACACCATCACCAGTGTCCATCACAATACCAGTTGTACGACCAGATGCATACAGTGACAGTACTGCCTGGATAGCTACATACATGGCGGGTGTGTTGAAAGTTTCAAACATGATCTGCAAAAATAAACAAACAATTATTTTCACACTAATTGTTAGGATTATAATGACCAAGTTTGTGTTGCTGAATTACAATTTAAGGTAGAAGCCTACTCATAAATTAAAAAACCCAGAATTTATTCATTTTGCAATAAATTGTACTCCAAGGCAATATAAGGATATTGACCTAAAAAAAGTTGGGGGTCACCAGCCTTTTTTTCGAGAAATTAATGGTTGTATTTTAGTGGAAAATCGCAATTTTTACACTATTATAACACTTTTACCACAGGTTCCTATGGCAGAGATATTATGCAATATCTCAAAATCTAGCCTAGTGACATAGGCTGAAAAAAATCATATATTGTTAATGACGTAGTACCTTTCGTTGTTCTGAACTATTAAAAAAATCTGGGTTTTAAAAAGTGTCAAAAAATCCATTTTTTCTTTAACATTATGTTCTATGGAATTGTTCTAAAAATAGCAATTTTTAAGAAATATTGGAACACGTTTCTCAAAACGTTTAACTGTAACACACAAAATAGTGATATTTCACTGTACAACTGTACCATGGGACATTAGCTTCATGATTGTACATAATAAACTAATTAACATTGTCATGCGATTTATTACCAATTTTGTCAAAAATTATGACTAGGCTTCTACCTTAAGTTGTGTTAAGTTGTTGTGTAGTTAAGTTGTGTTGCAGTCCTCTGAAGTTATACTGGAGAAAAAATGATATTTACCTGTGTCATCTTTTCCCTGTTAGCTTTAGGATTTAATGGAGCTTCTGTGAGCAGAACTGGATGTTCTTCTGGAGCTACACGTAATTCATTGTAGAAAGTGTGGTGATAGACTTTTTCCATATCATCCCAGTTTGTAACAATACCGTGCTCAATTGGGTATTTCAGGGTAAGGATACCTCTCTTGCTCTGTGCCTCATCTCCAACATAGCTGTCCTTTTGACCCATACCAACCATGACCCCCTAAACAAAAAACCATAATTTCATAAAATGTTCATGTACAAAATATTTAATGTAGATATTGTTCTACTACTTGTCATTTATAATGTTTTAGTAATTGCATGCAGTATAAAACTTAGTGCTCACACAAATATTGGCAAACAAAAAAATGAAACTTTGATAGATAGATTCCAGGCTTAACAGTTGCAGATTGTTCCTCCAAGTCATAAAATAGTTCCCTTTTATATGGCTTTCTCAAATCACCTCACCAGGTCATATAAAGCAGATAATCTTAAATTTGGAATAGCGTTTTTCGCAAGTACCATAGAATGGGACATAAACAATTCTGACCATGTGCTGGGACAAACGGGCGGATGAAATTTCAACTCTTAGTCTGGTCTCAGATAAGATCAACGCGAGCATGCAATTTTGTTTCACACGTGTTACGGCTTACAGGATCGAAGTACTAAACCATTTCTCACCTTGTGACGTGGGCGACCAACGATGGATGGAAATACTGCACGGGGGGCATCATCTCCGGCAAATCCGGCTTTGCACATACCGGAGCCATTGTCTTGTACAATCGCGGCTTCACCCATGATAAATTATTAAAATTTTAGGTTCTGTAAAAAAACAACAACAAAAAACAAAAAAACAATTTACAACATTAACACATCTTTTAAAGTTCGAAGAGAGAAAAACTAGAAGGGACTACTATTATATTCAAAGTCGTTACAAACACTCGCGAACTAAAAAGACGCACTTTATTGTGGAGAAAAATTGCTATCTCGATTGCTCATCTTAAAAGGATGCGAATTTCCATTCACACATAGCAAAACCTAAAAATACGACTATCCTCTATTGCTCACCAGGAATGTCATAGTACCATGGCGAAATTTGAAATGTACAGTTCACACGAATCAGTCGCGCGCGAAACACGCAAGGGAAATACTACAGTAACTATGTTTATCTCACAAGAAAACACCAACAACCAGTCATAATCCCTCTTCCTCAATTACAATCCTTTAGTTAAAGTTCATAGAATGTTACGTTTCATACAATGATTCACACTATCGGCATATGTTTTCGTATATTGTTTTTGTATTCCATGCAAAAAATAGTTGTTTCACTCCTTATAAAATGGCCACCAGACTCACCTTTGAAATAGAAAACGAAATGTATGAAGCAGCAACTTGTCGAGATAAACTGCACTACGCGATATATATTATATCTCGCACACAGCTGCGGTATAAAACTACCTGCGTTTAGTGAAATACTATCAGGAAATTTTTGAAAACAAATGTAGATTCACGGCTACTTCGAAATAGTGAACGTTGCAAACTACAGCTAGCTCAAAATACTGTGCGCGCGCGATGTGCGAGTCAAAAAGTACGTCACTCATTCACATGTTTAAAATCATCCAATCACCAAGCACGGGATCTGACCCACATGGATGTAGGTACGCGCGCGTCTCCGTCACCGAGCGCTACCCAATACTACAATGTGTTTGTAAAGATTGAATGAATGTAATTTCCTTGTAATTGACTACATATTGTATCCAGGGACATTAATAGTAAATTGAAGCCTTACAACTGCCTCAAAACAACTTTGTCCACAAATTAAAGGAGAAACATGCACGACTTGTTTTCTGCAATGCCAATATCAGAATGGAACAAATTACCTACACATTTAAAAATGTAATTTACCAAACTAATTTTTAAAGAGCTATAAACAAAATTACTGTTGCATAAGTTAATAAATTGCAACTTTAAACTGTACACAAATTGTAACATTATGTAAATTTATAAAAAAATGTATTTTTTTAGTTATTTGTAACTAACAGGCATATGCCTGCAAATAATATATAGGCCGGCTGTAAGTGATTTTTGACCATATGTATATGTGCATCGAATAAATATAAACTAAACAAACAAATAACGATTTTAAGGAGTGATTGTATTAGGTAGATGTAAAGCAGCTCAACACTGTGTTTTCGAAAATTGATATTTCATTACAACAGTCTGGGTTTTGTGTGATTTCAGGCTAGTTCGCCTTAAAATGATGAAACGAGAATGACCCATAATTATCAATAAAAAAATCAATTTAGTTTTTGCAGCCGTGATTTAAAAAAAATGACTTAGTTTTCCCGATAAAATATGGATAGCACAACGAAATAAATAAATAATTAAAAACTAAATTAAATTGAATTACAATAATGGCCTACTCCTGAAAAAAAACGTTGTGTACAACCCCTTCCGTAATAACTAATCACAGGAATCTATCATCACATTTGTAAATTTGAAATAGCTGTACATATCTGCCGAAGCCACTAAGTAAATGAAGCATTTTTGTTCTCTAAATACCAAGTCTTAGCACAGTAATTTTACATTTCATGTTTTACGCAATGTGTATCTTGCAAAAATACGAGTAGCATTCACGTGTGTGAATCTATATTAGCGCCCTCAAGCGACTAAACTAATATTTCAATAGTCATCATATCACGCCACCCAGTGAAACGGGGGGGGGGGGGGGTAGAGGTGAACTACATATACCGGTACTGCGCAAATTTTGAATAAGTTTTGAGTAGGATTCATTTCAGTATGATAAAAATTATTTTTGTTGATTTTTTTTTCTATAAAGTATGAGGCTGTTGTTTTTTATTTACCTATATTTGTTAATCTTATTTTTCCAGATTTGTTTTCAAGGGCAGACTTCCCCTCCTCATAGTATAACAGATCGCACCTAACCTACTAGTAATTGCAACATAATTATCTGTTCATAGAGACATGTCACAAGTCCAAGTTAAAAATATAAGTTAAAGAGCTGACTTGTAATATGTCAAATCATTTGTGAGTGCACCTATATATTTAACAATGACAGCCAAACATAACAAGGGCGTCAGCTCCCTATATTTATCAAGCCATGCTTTCGTTGAGCAGTTATTCCAAATTTGTTTCCCTGTATTTTGCATTGCATCCAATGTTACAGTACTTTACTCTGCATTTCAGATCCTTACACTCAGAAATATAGTTCGTTTACAAATGTATATAGATCTCAAAAGACACTGATTACGTTGAGAATAAACAAATTTTATGAGCTAGGGGGCCTTGTTTAGAATGGTTGTTATAGAAATATTGATGCGTCATATGCACAGGCTGCATTTTCTCTTCAATGATTAGTTCAAGCTAGTACATACACTTTCATTCCTTTGATTAAAGAGCTCAAATGCTTGTTGCATGCCGCCGACTGGAAAAACTTGGCTTTTGAGAAAACACGATTTTATTTACCACCTTTCTACAAATTTGATACATTCAGGCATACACCCACGATATTCCATCGTCCGAATTACTGTCCCACGTCTTTGACCTATAGGCCTTAGCCGAATAAAACTTAGACCTTGGCTCGCGAAGATGACTATTTTCAGGCTCTATGATCTGTCGCCATGACAAGATTAGTGGTAGGACCAAATGCAGAGTAACAGAACTATGAGACGAGGGCATGCAAAAATGGCTTCACATGGACAGATAAACTTTAGACGCAATTAGGGAAAATACATTTGACACATTTAGCAATTTTTTGCTAAATTTACATTTCCATTTGGTTCAACCATGCCATTCACTTATTCAACACAAATCATCTTAAAACTCAAATTTTCAGTTTGTCCCGTACTTTAATTTGTTTTTAGTATAAAAAAATTCTCCGAAGTACAATAACACAGAAGCAGTAACTGAAATGAATGTAACGAGAAGTGGTGAACAAGTTTGATTTGTTTATGATTTTTTTTTAATCTTTTCATTTTTTTTATATATCTTAGAGTTGAGCCTATAAGTTCAGACTCTATATTGCAACGTTAAAGCATTACAGTCGATACAGACACAGGATAGCACCAATCCCCCTTTCTGCAAAGAGCACCCAGTACATTACCCTCTGAACAGACTTGAACGCCCTCCCCCTCCCATAGCTAATCCAACAAAACTAGAATAATTAACTTCACCAAAATTCTAACAAGCTAGAGAACTAACAAAACATTTACAAGTTGAGCACTCCAGATGTTATCCATTTTTTTTTTTGTAAAGTCTGGCTCAGGATGGTTACAGAGAGAAATAAATCTGGCTCATCTTTGGGAACTCTCAGCAGCCATTTCGCGCGCACAATAGTCAGATTTGACAGTATTTGTTTATGTAATTGTCAATCATCAAGATCAAGGCAGTTTAGAAACATTTGCGGTGAACGATGGATGGGCCGGACTCGTCGTATTCTTGTTTGCTGATCCACATCTGTTGGAAGGTGGAGAGGGAAGCCAAGATGGAGCCACCGATCCATACGGAGTATTTACGCTCTGGTGGAGCAATAATCTTGATCTTCATTGTGCTGGGAGCCAAGCTGGTGATTTCCTTCTGCATACGATCAGCAATACCTGGGTACATGCTGGTACCACCGGAGAGTACAGTGTTGGCGTACAGGTCCTTACGGATATCAATATCGCACTTCATAATGCTGTTGTAAGTGGTTTCATGGATACCTGGAGACTCCATACCTAGGGGAAAATAATTTATGGTCAGTGGTTGACAATTTAAAGATTGGCCGAAACGAGTCAATAATTTCAAATATTAACTGTATGCATGTTAATGAAATGCAGGCAAAACTTACCCAAGAAAGCAGGCTGGAAGAGAGCCTCTGGGCAACGGAAACGTTCGTTACCAATGGTAATAACCTGACCATCAGGCAATTCATAGCTCTTTTCTAGTGATGAACTTGAAGCAGCGGTTGCCATTTCTTGTTCGAAGTCCAGAGCTACGTAGCACAGTTTCTCCTTGATGTCACGAACGATTTCTCTTTCGGCTGCAAGTAAATGAAAATTCAATGTTAGTCAGTAAAGAGAAACGTGTATGCAAATCACCAGCATTAGTTTTATAAATTGTGTTTTTTGCATTTCACATTCAACAGAATCTACCCTGAACTAGGTTTCTTTTCGATACAAAATAATCTCTGGATGAACAGTTAAAAATACATTTACACACCTGTGGTTGTGAATGAATAACCACGTTCTGTCAGGATCTTCATGAGGTAGTCAGTAAGATCACGTCCAGCCAAATCCAGACGAAGGATGGCGTGTGGCAAAGCATAACCTTCATAGATTGGTACTGTGTGGGTTACACCATCACCAGTGTCCATCACAATACCAGTTGTACGACCAGATGCATACAGTGACAGTACAGCCTGGATAGCTACATACATGGCGGGTGTGTTGAAAGTTTCAAACATGATCTGCAAAAATAAACAAAAAACCTAATAAGCTCAATGGAAAATGAATAAATGCATTATACACTTGCAACCAGGTACCTTGATGACCTTTGGTCAATGACCTACATTGACCTTCAGGTGTTATCAATGCTTTTTTTCTTCAAGTTCAACACATATTTACCTGTGTCATCTTTTCTCTGTTGGCTTTGGGGTTGAGTGGAGCTTCTGTGAGCAGAACTGGATGTTCCTCTGGAGCTACACGCAACTCATTGTAGAAAGTATGATGCCAGATTTTCTCCATATCATCCCAGTTTGTAACAATACCGTGCTCAATTGGGTATTTCAGGGTAAGGATACCTCTCTTGCTCTGAGCCTCGTCTCCTACATAGCTGTCTTTCTGTCCCATACCGACCATGACACCCTGAAAAAAATATTAAAATTAATGATTTGCCATGCATTCTAAAGTAAACTTAAAATTCATCGTACTTGATATGAATGTTCTAGTTTATTCAAACTCGTGTCATTTTATGCAAATTGTATTCAGCATTTAATTTAATAATAATGGAGTCTACATCACAACACCGACCGAACCATTGCCTTTTATGGTAATGCTTTTATGGTAATGCTTGCATGTTTACCGGTTACCTTTCAGATTGGCTGTGTCAGCCACCCTTTTCTTAGTTTATTAACCTGCCTGGACGTTTAATCAGCACAATGAAAGCACAATAGGGAGCCACTCCCACCATTGGGGGGGGGGGCTATCTTTTGAATCTACTTCAAGGACCAATTCTGATGGATTGCTCACACCTCATTTTGCAAGAAAAATCTCGAAAAACATTTGTGATAATTTCACACACAAATGAATTATGTTTTTCAAACAAATATTTCTATATAAAAGGAAATTTTGTTTTAATCATTGGATGGCATTACAGTTTCAACAAAAAGACACTTCCCCTAACAATTTGACAATGAAAGTGGGTGTGGTGATGTACAGTGGAACTTTACATAATTAATACAACCTTTCATATTTCCGCCTATATGGAGGGATAATATTTTCTATAGATTTGCTGGTGAATGGCAACAAAATAAAAATCAGGCAAGAAAAGGAAATTTATTTTCGCTGGGAAAGCCGTCGCAGCTGTTCCGACTTTTTATGTTGATAGATGGAGACATTGGCACAGCAGAGGTCAAGCTACTATAGGTGCGCGGACCCCTGATAATCATTCTATTGAATGACGGGTAGGGCGTTCACACCGAACAAGGATAGTAAAAACCACATGGCCAGTATGTAGAATAGTACAGCAAGGTTATTAATTTCTGAATCGAGTCGAAATATTCATTTACCTGATGACGTGGGCGTCCAACTATGGATGGGAAGACAGCACGGGGAGCATCATCTCCGGCAAATCCGGCTTTGCACATACCGGAGCCATTGTCCACAACTAAAGCGGCAACTTCTTCGTCACACATGTTGAATTATTTGATGTGGTTTCTGTAATAAAATGAAAAAAAAACGGAATAAATTCAGAATGAAGCAAAGTTGATATTTGTGAATTAAAAGGTGATGACAATGGTTGTGGACAGTAAAAAAACAAAAAACAGACTGGTTTTCTCTCGTGAATATCCGTGTAAGCAGCGTGGCCAAGCCCTGGGGGATTTGGAGAGACCGATATCATCGTTTCGCGATTGGCAAACGTGTTGGAATACAATTTTTTTTTCACAGAAAATAAAATAAAATGGTATTTAGCATCAAATATCGTGTTTAACAGAAAACTGCAAGCAATTTGTACATGCCAATTTCTACACAAGTATTATCATCAATTAAAAGTTGACATCCGATGGTTATGTTATAGACGTCCAGCTAAGTTATCAAGGGTGTGTCCATTACAAGGTGTGCGTATGTTACACCTTGGCACTTTTACATAATGTAGAGAATAACCAACAACGTATTTTTGAAGATGGTTGGAAAAAATGAAATTAGCACAAGCGAAAAATACAGACACGTTAAAAAAATTATGTAGTTTGTCACCCACCTGGTAAAGGTAAGAGAAAATATCACTAATGGAGCTGGGAGAGCGCGCTGTGCTTGTATCAATGCTCGACGACTCACAGTGAGGGATGAAGCTCTGTGCACGGAGTTTTAGGTGCAGTTACAATGCTTTGTAAAATTTTGAAAGCATCTCCTAATTTAGTGCTGAACCCCGTGAGTGGGTTAGTCTTGCAAAAATGTGTAAGAGGTCACGCAAATATGCCACCGGTGGAGAAAAATTTTGACCATATATGGACATGTTTGAGATGATCCGATTTGCCATCAACATTGGTCACCTGCAGGTAATCGTGGGGGTGGTCGCCATAACGGAAATTAGGGTGACAATTCACTGCTACTTTTCGTGAGTTTGTTTGGTGCATGTATGGAAAACTATCCAGAATCAACGTTATAAACATATTACAAAACGTATGTAGCAAATTAACCGTTGGAACTCGCGAGCATTCTATGGTTGGTGCTTTACCCGAGGGGCACCTCATTGTTAAACCTGCCACCCCCACAATATAATAATGGCCGTCCAAAGGTAAAAACAACATGTCTGGGTCAAAATTGAATAATAAATATATATTTTTAAGGCCATATATGGTTGAAGTAAGACTATATGGAGAGTATAAAAAATATTTACGTGCAGCGGACATTCAAACGGTGTGAATCGTCTTTATTTGTGCACAACAATTAATATTCATGACTCACTCTATCATTTTTCATTCGATCCCCTTATAAGGAGCGCGTCCCTGAGAGGCGGTGACAAAGGATGAGTGGACTCATTAGCATATTAATGGGACAGGTTTGTCCTAGAACTGGTCCCTGGTCAAAAAGAATAACGCAGAAACAATCGATATTGAATTCACAGCAGTCATGTGCGCTATAATAAAATGGCTGTTCATATTTTATTCACTCGTTCTGAGTAGGGATTTGTGAGTCGATTTCCAATATATGTGTTCTCCTTCTTAATATTTAAAATTGCCTGAGAGATAAATTGTCAACTAATATATATACGGAAGTGACTGGCGGGTATGAGTCACTGCCCGAGTCACTGCCAGTCGTACAGGTAATTGTTATCAGTTGATAAACTGTGGGACTCGCACTTTGAAATTGAATATTCGGTTTCATAGGCGGGCACACCCAATTCACAAACAAGGGATTTCCAACGGCCACGCAGACCCAGCACTCCACAGTGAAACTGAAGTGCCACGTGTATTCAACTTCATTTGTAACCATGGAAATCACAAACAAGTTTATCTTCGAGCCTTTTTTGGGCATGGTTCGCAGTTAAATTAAAATGCATATAGACTATTAAAGCCCTGATTAAAGCCGATTTTCCTGCTGCGGTGACATTAATACCCAGGGTTGCGCAGTTTGTGTTTTTCATGTTTTATCGCATCTCGTCTCGAGTAAAAATCACACGGCCTTGTCTTTACCTACTTCGACATGGCGCGAATAATCCTGGCGTTGATAGCTGTTCTGTCAGTGTATTAGATATTAAGCACACTTTAATCACAAAACCCAATCTATATCACATGTATAATTGTTGTCGAATTCTAAAATCTGTGTCATATTTGAGAAATATCGTGCACGATTACGGAAGTTGTAGAAGACGCCCCTAAAAGTGCTCGTGGCGTATTTGTTGTTCACCGGCAACTTCCGCGTAGAAACCCTTTATGGTTCTATGTCACCAACTGTCATCGAGGGGGGGGGGGGCAGCACTGCGTATTGGGACTGTATCTTTACCCTGTGCTTTACCAGAGTTTTGCGACTGATATCACAAATTTAATAACACTTTTAAAGCATAATACGAATTTATATTATTTAGTATTAATTAAAATATGAAAACACTTGATTCGTGGTCGACGGTTGGACTGGATTTTTCTGTTTATGATAAAGGTCAACGTATAAAGGTCAAACATAAAGGTCACCAACGGTAGGTCACCGAGATAATAAATAATGTTTGTTTGTTTGTTTGTTTGTTTGTTGTGATGACTCAATTTACTGAATCACTGCGCGTTAAATATGTACAATATTTGAATTTATTAAATTGCATTCATTACACGTAAAATGCACATGGTTTTATTCTCAAGGTTGAGGAGGCCATCGTGACCGTACTCGATCTTAAAAAATAGAAAGGCTGTAATTTATAGCGTATTTGCGCGTACGTGGTTGGAGGGGTTCAGCGTATTAATGTCCATGATGCCAATACACACAGGGCCGCCCATGTGCAGTTGTCTGGTACAACAAAGAAATTCTGTATAAGCATTTGAGCGCAGTTGTTTCGTTTTATTTTTGGTGTTTTTAAAATTACATCCTGTGGCATGTTATTTTGTGTTTTTTTTTAATTTGTATTGGCTAGCTATTCTAGTTGTATTCGCATCGTGGATCGTGGGCGCGGGTGTGTCCGTTACGGTTCGTTTATTCACTGATAAGAATTTGTTTGGCGATCATGTCGAGCCAGCACCAGGAAGACTGTGTTCAATGCACACTCGGCAGTGGAGAGAATAGTGAAATCCTGCACAGTCCGTCGGTCATATGTACTTTTCATATATCCCTAGTGCACGTAACAAGATTCAATTGTTCATAGTCGTGTTTGAGGGACTGTGAGTTGTTCTTGTCGCTAAGAGCAGCAGTTTCCACTGGACAACTGGCATATTACTCTCAACGTATGCTCAATACTAGTACATGTATACATTTGTACTCGCCAACATTTCGGAGTCGGTTCCGAGCCTGTTGTCAGGAAAGCATTGCTTTGGCGGGTAATATGTATCTTCAATACGATAATTCTGACTAAATAAATAATCTTTTATTGAAATCGTTTTATGAATTTTTCTTACAATGCAGCATTTTATACGGCTGACGGTAATTTTCAGGTTGCATCCAACTAATCCAAATCAAATAGAAAATAACGACATCTGTATTATTTTATCACAATAATCCTATTACCCTTTACGATGTCTTATGTCGGTGCGGACCAGTTATTTTTTTTAATCACAAGGTTTCATTGCCCATTCGTTTGTCACGTTTAAGCGATCTAACCCACGCCTCGTGACTGATTGTGCAGTCCGGGCGCACATTGTAATATTGAAGAATGTGCCACCTATTATTTTTTTGTTTTAAATTGACTTTAATTTATGGTGAACCCGGAAACAAACCAAAGTTCGATAAATTAAACAATGCGTCAGACTGGATGATTACGTACGTGTATCAATTAGCAGAGACCGACACAAGCACGGGGTTTTCCCCTGGTTTACTTATGAGGAAGTGTAACACTACGCGGATTACCTTAAATGGAAATAACGTGAACATAAAGAATTTGGCACAAAGTATTGTTGTTGATATTTGTTTTAGGTCTTGAGTACAAAGCATATTCTTTACTGCCCGTTTTACTTCCTCTAACCTCAGACAACTAATTATTATTTTCTGAGCTTTAACCATGAAGCTAAAACTATTTACCTCTATGCTCTGGCTAAGTTTATAGGGTTTCCTATTTGAAAACTGGGGTGAGAGGGAGCGGGTCTCCCTAACCCTAGGTCTCCAGTGCCACCCCAATTCAGTTGGATATGGTCCTTTTATGTACAACTGCAGGTATATCCAATACATTTGGTACGCTGTTGGGGTTATGGATATTTAGGATACTAGTATGTGTTAGGTCAAACTCTTGCAAATTGGGGCTCAAAAAATGCAACTAAAGTAAATAACACTCTCAAAACTGAGTGGACGCATGGCTATCGTGAGACAAATGTAAATAAAATGTTTAAATAATTCCTCACTGCCCGCCTGATCACCATGTTTCCAAATGGGTAGCCTTATACTCATGCGAGTTCTTCATACGACTGTGAGCCAATTGTCAGTGTACCATCCGCAGCTATATCGAGCCAAGGAGGTAACGAGGTTACGAGGACAAAGAACGCTAGCGTCGAAAGTGATCATTGGTAATGACAGGACGTTTAAACAGACAAGATAGGAAGATTAACTCGACTAGAAATTTAACAGGTTGAAACTTTTACCTCCATGATCGAGCGTTTTAGTGTGAACAATATAACGAGTGGTTGGAGGGGTGCATGGACTGTACGCTCTTCACTTTGGTATGAAAGTCTAAAGACTCAAAATGAAGGATGTATTTTTATCATTGACAAAAATACACCAATACAATACAATTTCCCATATAATGTGTACCTATTTTCTTGTTTGGGTGAGGAAAAAAATGTGATTTCGCAGTTTCAACTTACCAATTTACCGTGACTGAATCCTTGGGACCTACTCCATATTTCGGAGTCGATATTACCAAATAATCTAAATCATGAATATTCCTAATAAATCTTTAATATTAATCGTGCGTTAATTTCTGTATAATTTGGTGGTCGGTCCATTCTCATACAAGCTGCCATTGTATTGCATCATTGGGGAAGCTTGAATAACACATTTGCAAAGTTAGTGGGGGTGCAAAACATGGGAGCAAATACAAATCTTCATACCAAAATAATGTTCGGAATTATTATAGCACAACAGATCGTTCTTTGATACAACTGAAGTCGGTGAAAAACTATGACTTGAGAAGATGGGTTTGCTATAGCGTACAATCTGATCGTACGTCCGTGAACTTGATGCTTGGGGTCCCGTTTTAGGATTCCCTGGGTTTTGTTTCCCGCTTCAAATATATCCAAAAGAATGTACCATAGCTCCATATATCACCGAATAACAGCAACACCCTGGACAGTGAAGAGGTAACTTCTGAAAAAGTGTGTACTCCAGCCCTATGATGTTGCAGAAGTTTAATAGATATTGAGAGACGACATTGAGCTACACATGATTAGCGCGGAATGATAGCACCGTGACAATTAAATATACATCGATAAATGTGGCAGATCAAAAATGTCTAAATAAAACCAGATGCAATGCGCTGGGTCAAGGCTGTGTCCGAGATTTATTTTGTCTCGTCGCCTTTGTCCGTCTTCCCATATAAGGTGTAACCAACGCTCGGGCATTCGCGTAATGTGACCCGAATCACAAGCGTGCATCCAGGTCACTGAGTTGGCATGGCAACCACGAATTACTGAATATTCCACATATTTGTCTTAATCGCTCTATATATTACTGTGTTTGTAAACAAATGAAATTTGATGCAAGTTTCAATGTCAAGTGTATTTATAGTGGGATACTGTAAACATATTAATGATCACTTGTTTTTCATTTCTTTGGTTTCGTTGATAAGTAAAACCCGCAAAATTAAACCAAATGACTTTGCTTCAAATATCAAAATAGTGGAATTGAAATCCAGTGAAAACTTATACTTTCACACTTTATTCAACCACAAAAAGTACAACGGAGGAATTAACATGGTTAACAACAAATAAAAAACCATATCAACAAATAAAAACAAATCTATCAAAAATCATATTCAAATAAAAACAGACGAGAAATAATAAAGGTTACACATTACAATGGAATCCTAGATAAAAAAAACAATTTCTTATTGCTATCTAATAATTTAAAAAAAACTAGAACGCAAACAATAGTATCGTTCCTATGGGCAGTATTTGAGGAATATCTTCTGTTTTTAAAATACTGGCTAAGTCAAATATTGACGGAAACGTTGCTATTATGCACTAACATAAGTCACTGAAATTAGAATGCACATGAATTTTATCGCTTCTTCAAATAATATTTTTTTGAGCTTTTAGAGGGGCATGATACTAAAATATGGATTTCATTTTCAGTCCGATTTATTAAACACAGCTGACATTGTCTACTGATTTTTTTTTTTTTTCTGGGCTGAGTATATCTCTCTGTTTCTATTTTTAGGTTGGCGACGATTCAAACGGAATCCCGTAGTTCATAACAATAGATATATAGTTATGATTTCACTAACCGCATCGGTGAGACATGATCAGTGCGAATACATCAGCAATACAGTCATGGTTGATGGTATAGACCACTTTCCCGGAAGTAGCAAAACTGGGGTGCAAAAATACTCCTGCCTTGTCATGGCGGAAAATACAACCATGTCAGTTTAATGATAGTCGATAGAAAAAAAAAATATTTTTGTTACGTCGATTGTTACACCCAGGAGCACAATATCACGCGTGCAAGTTTACGTTACACCTCAATTTCATGCGAAAAGGCGGTTCATCGACTTCCGGGAAAGTCGTCTATGGCGCCACCACGTATGCAAATATAGTTTCTCAGATAGAAGATGAAATTACGTGCTCTCTCTCTATATATAAGGAGCGAACCATTATTTTTTTTTAATGTGAGCTAAGGTTATTACAAATATGCATGATTACATTTAGCAAACTTCATCGAACACTTCATCAAATAAATATTCGGCAAAAAATGCCATTTGATTTATGTGTAGTGACGATACTGCAATAAAGATAATTTTAACGGACGGCATTCCATTATCAAATCGTTTCTAGCCTTGTCTGAACATTCACGTGGCTTTGGTACCCAGTGTGAACTTGTCTGAATATACCAAATGTGATCATGCATTTGAGGAACAGATTAAAATACCGGTAGTGTTGGATGAAAATGGTACAATGTTTGTAAACTGTATCACCATAGGAACCTTGACCAAAGAGTTTTAAAATAATATACAGTATGGCACAAGTAACGTTACATATCATGTGTCCATGAAATCACTATGAATATTTTATCTGAGGCTGAGTGAAAACAAAAATAGTCAACAAAATATGTTTTTCTTGTCGTTATCCACAGCGTTGATGCGACATAATTTGTCACAGCGCCCTCTGTTCGATCTTTTTGTTTATCCCATAATGCATCAGTTCAAAATGGCAGAAGAAGTGCAAAACGTGGCTGAAGTAGTGCCGGAAGAACCGACACCAGAAGCGACGACTCCGACCGACACTTACACAATTGAAGGTAAGAAATAGGGAGTATATTTAATAAGTATTCAACAGGAGAAAAATGGTGCTGATAGCGTGCCGCTGTGCAAAGTAAACACGTCGTAAAATTGAGTGAAGATACATATTGCTTACAATAAAACCCAGTGGACACATTCACAACTAACAAGACGATTTATAAAAAGATCGTTTATTTTGATATGACGACGAAAATTGACATGTGGTTTTCATTCGATGACATGTGAAACCGGATTTTAAATAAATAAATCCAATATCGCGTAGCCCCTAAGTGCAGCAACTACAGCAATAGCTTTGTAACTGCAAGATGCAGTTTAATTTTTTTAGTGTTTTTTAGTCGGCGAACCATATGTTACAAATACAATGCCAATTTTGAACACGGGTATTGTCACAGACAATAGCTACCTACTGTGGTCGAGTCAAGGAAGAACTGCAAATTATCTCACAAAACTGTTGTGTATTTAATATGAACTGTAGATTAACATGCCATAGTGAAATTATGCATTCTGTTCAGAGCAGGTGGAAGATCCTTTACCACAATGTCCAAGTGTTTTTATTGGTTTTTATTGTACTCTTTAAAAGATGATGGATACAGTGCGATAAATACAAAATGTGATAAACGGTAGTCCATGTTATTAATTTCACAGGTTAAATTATAAGAATTTTGGTTTGATTGTTCAAAACAAAATATACGTATCGAAACTCAATAAATAAAAAAAAAAGGTTGAGAAACATGTTTTTCACTGTCCAACAAATCAGGGGTAAAATACCAAACTTTCACAGCCGAACGACCCGCTAACACAATTTGTCCAAAATCGTCATCCAACTTTAAGGACATTGTTAATTGTCTCCTGAGTGAAAATGAAATGATAATATTTTGGTTTCAAAAAACCCTGGAAAGTGTTCTATGTTTTTTTTGTAATTAGGTGTTCATATGCAAGGATTTTCTCCATAAAAACAGTGAATTCGGCAAATTGTTAGTGGTTGGCATAGCCCAAAATGACCATTTGGGTGTGAAAGTTTGATAATTTTTTTCGAATTTGTAGAAATCTTAAAAACACATTTCTCAACTTGTCTCTTTATTTAGTATCATGTCATATTCAAGATGGTGGCCCCCATAGTAAACATCAGTAAATTGTTGCTTTTATTTCATTATCACATTACACGCCAACTGACTGTGTGTAATTGCTACATGTGTGCAACAGAAGGTCTTCTTGGTGTTGAGTGGGACGATTACAATCACGACTGGGAAACTATTCTGGGGAGTTGATTTTCATTAGAACTCTTGAGTTGGCCGAAAATGAGTTTCTCTGCCTTACAAGCAAGTGCTGATGATTCAAACTTTCCAGACTGCATTGTCTGGGATCGATGTTACCACTGACCTCTTGTTACCTACTACATTGGCCAACAAAGAAATTAAATTATAAAAAACAAGAACAGAGATAAAGAAAAATATCGGCTCCATGAAATATTAAAGGACTTCATTAGCTTAGTTTTGCTTACATATGTCCACACTGACAAGCACTGTAAACGTCAACATCTCCCAAAATTTACCAATTTGACCCAGAGAGTTATTAAAGCTGACGTAATTCATGGAAGGATTTCCATATAATTTTAAATCCAAAAGTCTATTTCTTAGTTTTTTTTTAATTTGGGAAATGCTATGAGCAATTCAATGCTGGAAATAAAACTGCAGGATATTACTCCAAGACCACTAAATTACGTTTAAGGGAATGTTGTCTTCTATCAAATAGGGGTGATAAAACTGTTGGTCATCCATTCCTGTTTGGTACATGTTGAAGAATCTTTATTCAAAAAGTTGCAAATTTCTACAGAATTATTGGCTTCCTCGCTAAAGGTTTTTGGCTTCCAGATCTATTTATGGGTTCTGTGGATCTGAGAAGAAATGAATTGAATTGGAAAAAAATAAATACATTTACTTTATTTTCAAAATTTATTTGCAGTTCTACAAATTATTAAAGAAGCCCAGCAGCAACATGGTTTACGACATGGGGATCAACAAAGATACAGGTATGCACAGTTACAGACAAACTCAGACTGGTGAAACTTATGAGAACCCTCGCCTAAATTTATGAGGATTTTACACCTATATTCCTCTATAACCGCAAAAAAAGCAGTCTTTGAGAGTGTTTGTGTGTGACTATGTGGCTGCCACACACATTGACAGCCACACAGCACAGTTACTAACTTGAGCTATAACATGAAAGTAAAGATGAAGTTTTCCATTTTCCATCCATGGTTGTGGTATAAGATTAAGTTGCTGCTGTAAATTCTAATCATCTTCAAAACTATGTGAATTTGATGATTTCACTAAATCTCTGGAATTAGATTAATTTTGGGATTTAAATGAAAATGACACCTGCAGTTAGGAAATGTAGGCCACCGGTTAGCAGAATTTGTGTATGAATCAAAATCTTACTTCAGATAGTTTTGCTACCATTAAAAAAGATACTCAATTTCTCGAAATTCGGCAAGATGAGTTGAATTACAATAATGTTTATAATTCTGAAAAAAGAAATACCGGTATATGGTTACCGAACTAATTTTTCAACAAAATTACCTCGAAAGTTAATCAAAAATCTATTTTTTTTAATGATTTACAATAGGTTTGTATGGAAAAAACATTCCATCATTTTAAAAAATTTTTGTAGGTGACCTATGCTAAAAAAATTGTATGTAGTTTTGTGAGGGCCACAAATGTATTTGAATATTAGTACAAGTTATCCACGGAATAATGTGTTTACATTGAGTCCTATAGAAAATGTTCAAAATGGCCACTTTTTAGATTATTTTGCATGTTTGAAACGCATCCATTTTTCCTAGTAAAAAAAACGTTGAATATGAATGACGTGCATGTATGTGAATCATCACACAACAATGTTTGAATGATTTACTGTGATAATTTTTTTTTCATGTTTTAATGTTATGAACTACCTTAAATAAGAATATTTCAATGGAATTCCTCTTTTACATATATTTACAGAGGTTACTGTACAAGAAAGCTCAGAAGAATACGTAAATCTGTTCATTTTGTTCTGGGTCATAGAAATCGATTTAATAACAAGAAAATTACTGAAGATATTATGAAAGATTTCAAGTAAGTTGGGTATAGTTGGTGGTGGCAATTGTGTAGTTATGTTATTGTTGATAACGTAGGATACATCCTTTTTCTCATCTGTAGTTTGCTGTTGTATTCTACCTCGTTCAATAAAATCAACCTATCAGATAAATTTGCCATCAACATTATGTTATCTAAACAAAATAAGATAAAGATGTTTTTTATTTTTAGTCCCCGTTCGGACGTAGTCCGAAAACGGGGACTTATGGTTTGCCCTGTGTGCGTCCGTGCGTCCGTCCGTCCGTGCATCCGTGCGTCCGTGCGTCCGTGATCACCTGTATCTCGAACATGCATGGACCGATTAAGTTCAAACTTCACTCATACATCACACATTATATGGGACATATGCACATGCATTTTTTTCATGATCCGATTAGCGATAGCCGAATAGCGGCCATTTTAAGGCCGAAAATGCATCAAAATCGCACATTTTCACCATTCCGGACCCGGATCTCAGTTATGCATGGACGGATTTCATTCAAATTTGGTACATACATTAAACATAATAGGACCTTGATGCACGTCATTTTTTTTTTCGGATCAAGTTCGAAATGGCCGACTGGCGGCCATTTTGTTTCAAAGAATTCAGTTCTGGATCCGTATCCGAGACATGTCTGGATTGATCAAGTTCAAACTTCACACACACAAGGTACATCATGTCACAAATATG